TATTTCAATAGTTTAGTGACAGTGCTCTATTTCTATTTGTTTTTTCCTAATAGATTAGAGAAATGAATTTTAATTCAATGTTTTATTATGTTACATATTCTAAAGAGTGATTTGAGCTTTTTATTGCTTTATTTATTTATAACCAATTTTGGTTGCTTTATATCTAGGTAACTAAAGAGAGTTAATGATAGGGAACTAATGCCTTGTTTAGGTTTGAAGAGGTTCAATAGCATAATGAGACATCAAAGAATACTTGAAAACTAGAAAATGTAACATGGGTTTATTTATAAATTTTATGAAATTATTTTATTTAAAATTAATTTGAAAAATATATTTTAAATATAAAAAATATGTATTAAAAAATAAAAAACTTATTATTTACTGAATTGTAATAAAAAAAATTATATTGTAGTTAATATATTTGTTGATGTTATATTAATGATATAGTAAGTTTATTAGTTAAACGTAATATTTTTAAAACAGTTAAAAATTGTAAATAAAAATAATTTTATTTATTAATTTATATCTAATATATAATTAAGTATTTTATAAAGCTTTTCTTTTTTATTTTTTTTATCATAATATTTCTTATTTTAAAATACATTTTGATATTTTTTAAATAAGTTCAATCAATGTTTTTATTTTTCAGATAATTTTATGAATATTAGTAGTTACAAATTTATTATTAAAATTATTTAATTTTATCAAATGAATTTAAATATTTTTTATGAATTATGTCTAATAATTGTCATTAATTTTTTTTAAATATCAATAATTATACACGCACATACACATATATATATTCAACTTGTAGTTACTTTTATAACTCTTATTCTTAATTGTATTTTTTATCTTCTAACTTTTGTGTTTATTTGATTTTAGTTTTGTAATTTTAATTTGCGCAATTTTAGTCTCTTAATTTTTTAATTTAATAATTTTTTTATTCGTTAAGTTCTCATATAATGTTGAAGAAAATTATACTATTTTTTTCTCCTCTTAATTAGAATTCACTACTATTATCATTACTTTTTTTTCTTTTATTTCTTTCTCTTATTCATAGTCTTTATTTGTATTATTATTGTTGTCACTATCACCGTCGTTTTGGTTAATTTAAACGAAAGAAAAAAGTGTAAGTTTGTTGGAAATTACTCTATTAGTTTTAGGAGTGTTTCCATTAACATTGAGGTAAATCTTAATAGTGTTATTGATAGTGTTGGAGGTTTTTTAGGAGTGGTTGAGTTTGGCCTCCACTTTATTGAGTGATCACTCTTTGTTCAGAACTTTTTTGATTGACATCTTTATCATTTGGTTCTTCTTTTTCATATTTTAAATCAAAATTTTCTAATAAATCTTTGCAACTATGAGAGGCACCTATTGTTGTTTGAGGATCTTAAAGATTAAGAGGAGAAGAGAAGGATGCATTAGTAGTGACAAATGAGACTTAGATCTATTCTTAAAGTTTGAGCCTTTGAGAAAGGAAAGAAGGGGAAATAAATAAGTTTACGTTCTTTAAAAAAAGAGAAAAAGGAAGAAAGACAAATGAAGACGACATAAGAGAAAATATATATTGCTGTGAAGAAGAGTAGTGACAGAGGTAATGAAAGAGGGATGCAATAACGAATTAACTAGGGAAAGAAAAAGACTGTTCAGTTGCTATTCAAAATTAGATGACAACTTAATAGAGGACAAAAATTACATAATTATAAATTAAAGTACTAAAAATAAATAAATACAAAAATTAGAGGATAAAATATATAATTAACCTAAATATTAATAATTACAACTTTGGTGGTGATTAATAGTGAAAAAAAATTGTTTCTTAGATAGGAGTTAAACATATTCCCTAAACTTTTGAAGGTAATTCATGATAAATTATTGTATAGTGTGTCTTACTGTGTATTGTGCTTGATGTAGGATAACTTTTGAAAATTAAAACATTTGTCTTATTTCATATTCCTCTTTCTTTTCTGTCTCTTAATTAATAAGAATTATTATGGACATGCATAAAAATAAAAGTAGAAGGTGAAATGATGCCTCAGAATAAGGACATATATCTCATTCATTTCAATATGAACTAAGTGCTAATTATGAGGGATGAAGATAGGTGTTTTACTATCTTAATTGAGTATTTAAGCAATGGTTAATTGAGAAGTGCAAAGATTTCATTGGAAGAAAAAAAGTCTTACTTATTGTTGTTAAAAGAAAAAATAAAAAATACATTTCATTAATAAAATTTATAATTCATATTTTAGGTTTTTTTTAAATACATAAATACGAAGTTTCGCCCCATGTTAAGGATGAAACGATTAAAAGATATTTTTTTTTTGAAAAAATAAAATATAGTTGCATTTTTACAGGGAGCAAAACTCTTATCATGGCGTACTTGCCGCAAAATGTCATCCTGTCTCGTAGGGGGAAAAACTCTGCGATGTACCCATAAAACTAGGCATAAATTTAACCATAAGAGAAAGGGACAATGTTCGTGATATAAAAGGCAAGGGTGTAGTGTGCATGTACGATTCAGGGTATTGTTGGATCGGGTTAGAGAATTTAAAAAAAAATAATTTTAAACCGATGAAAAATAATTAGTTTAAATGGTTCAATTTTTGCATTTTCTTTTCTTAGCCTTATCCAAACTAATTCAATAAAATTTAGATTGAATCATTGGCTTATTAGTTTATTATTAACAAATAACAATATTAAAAAGATATGAAAAATTCTATAAAAATATAAAATGATATACATAAATTATTAAATATTAAGAAACATTTTAAAGAAATTTGTACTTTATCATACTTTAATGAAGTAATAAATTAACAATGTTTCCATATAATTAAATATACTACTGATAATTTATTTAAAATAGTGGTGTCCTGATGCAATTTATTTATATAGCATAATCATATAAATTTTGACCTTGATTTGAGTTATTTAGCTTTTAAATGTTGAAATCCGATAGTCAAACTGATTAAAAATAAATTATAACTTTTACATTTAAATTAATCTAATTATCCAAACTTAACTTGTAATTTTGTTAAATTAAACAGATTCACAGGTAAACCTTTGCGTTCTTACGAACACCGCGTATACGAGATAATAAGAAATTATTGTAAATATGCTCCTAAAAGGGTAAAATGCAAGAAAGTAACGCTGCAAATTTCTCACAATCCGAAATAATATTTTAATTTTTTTATTTACAAGATGGGTAAGTTACCACATTCACAGTAGACAAGACCCTCTACATGTATGCCACGTAGTAGCATGATAGAGTTTTATCCCTTGTAACAGTTTAAATAAAATTGAGTGAAGAGAGATATTTGTGACACATTGGAGGTGTGTTTTATTGGACACGGGGCAGCGGGGTTCACACGGCAGACCAAAAGCGAAGGAATGGTGGGGACCCAACTGCACTTTTCTCGTGCAAGTCCTCTTCACCTGTTACTCTCTACATAACATCTCTCCCACTATTTCTCTCCTAAATTGCATGCAAACAATCTCATTTATCAATATTCAATTCCTATCACATCCTTACCCTCCTCCACCAATAACAAAATCAATGACCCATAGTAATAATTTTAATGGAAACAACAATAGTTATATAATTACATTAATATATTAAAAATTTAAATTTTTTTTAAATATCAAATACATAATTCGTTTCAATTTTACAGCAACCCTCTTTTTTTATTTATTTATTAAACTTCCCATCTAAATATTCACTGACAAATATCATTTCAGTGATGGAAATTCGTTTAATCACGTGATGATCACACACAACTCCTTCCAACAGTAAATATTTTATTGGTTGTCAACACAAACATCACGTGAATATTGTAGGAATATTGAATTGACTATATTTTCTATAAGAAAAGTGATATGCTAAAATATTTATTTTATACTTGATATCCGATATTTATACAATACCTTTAGCATAAGTTTATTTAATATTTATATTAATATATATCAAATATATATTTATATTAATAAATGCATAAAAGAAAATTAAGAAATATGAATATTTTTCAATTTTTTATATTATACTTACACATATTTATTTATATTGTATCTTAAATGGATAGACTAGTTTCTTATAATACAATTAAATGCTAAATTTACTATTTTATTATAGACATGAATTAAATTTGAATATAAAATTATGCTATAAAATTGAATAATTATTTGATAAATATTTATTCTTTGTTTGAAAGGAGACGCAAGAAAAAAATTTGAGAGATAAAAAAAGAGAAAAAGAGAATTAACAAAAAATTCTTTAATTTAAAAAACTAAAAATTATAAATTTACCATAATTTTAAAAATTTTAAAAATATTTTTTATTTAAATTTTTTAAAACAAAAAATACTGTTAAAATAAATTTTTCTTTTTTTTTCTACAAATTTTTAATAATATGTATACCTAACATGTATTTTATTTAATTGCTAATATAAAAATTTATATTAATAATGTCTTAAAATTAATTTTATTAAATATTTAAGTTTTTAAAATATTTTAAAATAACATTACTTGGATTTATATTCGACACATGTGTCCTGATTTTTCTCAAGATCTGTTATCATTATATATGGAAAAATGTTTTGTTTACTATTAAAGAAATCTTTATATATTTTTATTTAAAAATTATATATATAGAATAAATAAATTGAATATTATATTGATTTTTAGTAATTGACGTAATAAAACTCTCATGTCTAGGGAAGGAATAATTAAGATACAAAAGGGGAGATGGAGTAATCTGGAGTGCCAATAAGGTAGGCTAAAACTTTTAACACTTGCACCAATTCCCTCCGAACCCAATCTATCATCTCATCTCTTCCAAGAACGAAATCCAGATAACAATGGAATCCACTGTCTCCGCCAATCAGAACACTCCACGTGTCAAACAAGCACCACGTCACATCATCCCCTCATGCGTCGGTGTCCCACCCCTCAAAAAGTCCTTACCTTTTTCTTCACTTTTCTCCCTCTTATTCTCTCTCCTTCCTTAGACCGACCGAGAAAGAAACTGAAGCTCCAACAAAAGGAGAAAGAGCGCGTGTGTGTTTACAACTTACATCCATTCACTCACTAACCCAAGAAACTAGCTCCGTAAACTCGGTGTGATGTGCAACAACAATACTCCTTCTTCGGATATTCAAACAAGCTCCATTATGAAGAGGACACGAAAACCGACTATAAGATTTTCTTCTTCTTCCTCATCCTCTTCTCTCAAACCGCTGCGGCGGAGGAACAGGACCAAAACCAGAAAGCCCAAGTTCGTCAGTCTCCGTCTTAAACTATCTCAGCCCAAAAAGATGGCCCAGCCCAAGGCCCAACAGCAGCAGCTGAATCTCTTTCCTCTCCACCCGGAGGACAAGGACATGCACGAGGAGAACAACGTGGCCCTGCTGTTCAGCTCCGACGGGGGCGCCACGCTCACCGGGCTGCTGGAGGACGAGTCGACCACGACGACAGCGACCGCCACGTCGGAGGAGGGGTCGCTGTCGCCGATGACGTGTCCGGCGGTGGACGGGAACTGGTTGGTGAGGAAGGCGATGAGGAAGAGGGAGAGGGAGAGTGAAGAACGGTGGGTGTGTTACTCGGAGGTGGTGGAGGAGAAGAAGGAGACGATGGAGGAGGTGACTAGTTATTGTGATACTTTGGCTGGTGCGGGCACAACGACGTCGTTTGGCTTGTTGTCCTTGAAGTTGGATCACGAGGGGATATTGAATGCTTGGTCTGATAAAGGTTCTCTATACGTCGCAGACGAGGAGGCCCCACAGGCTGTCCCTGACTTGCTCAATGGTCTCCCTCTTCATAATGCCCTTGTTCCCAATGTAATTTTCACTTCACTCTTTCTTTTCTGTGTTATTTATTTATTTATTTATGTTAACGTTTTGTCAATTATCACAATGGGTGCCGACACGGGTTTATCCCACTCAAATGGCTCTAAGCAGGAAATACTGTTAGGAAAAATATCCACTTAGCAAAAAGAAAAAAGAAAAAAGAAAAAAGAAAAAAGAAAAGAGATTGGGCATAACAGAATACCTTTCTCCCTCTTCTTTTAAGCATACAAATGTGAATGTGCTTCCAGAGATATGGGTGTGCGGAAATTTGTCGTGAATGAATTAGTTTTTGGAATAGATTACGTCATATATTTGTGTATAAGATTTCGTAGGAATCTGTGAAATACAGTTTATTTATTTGTGTGTCGGATTGGAACTTTGTTGAATTTTACAGTGAATGGCAATAATTTTGATTTCGATAGCTTCTTATTTTTTGGGTAAAGGGTGCATTCTGATTAGGATCTTTATAAAACATTGGGGATATACATTAAAGCTTTTCTTTTTATTTTTTTATAAATGCTAAACCGGAATCTTTTAAGGAATTGATTAAAAATTAAACCTAATTTTGAATACAAAAATTTTACTTTGATTTCTTATTTAATACCTTACCGTGACATCTGTTTTACCGATTTGGTTGGCTTTGGAGTAATGTCTCCGGGTATGAGCCAAGTTAGTTGGGTGGGAGGGGTTGGACATTGTTGAGATTTTCATCAGTCATCATTACGGACTAATAATTAGGCATCAGAAAGACCTAGAAAAAACTATGAACCATGAGAAAGTGAGGGACACGGTAGAGGATGAGCAGAAGTTGGTAGCTTTGAATTGAAAGGGTAGAGATATTATTTTAGCTTTAAAAGAGTGAATGAATATATGATGGAACCACCCTTACTCTCTTGCTCTCTGATAGGGTGTTTGATTTTGTACAGGTTGCATGGGACAGTTGGGGGAGTGAAGCTGGGAACATATGGAAAGTTCCAGAAGATTGTGGAGCGAACAAGATGGTGAAGGAAGAAACGGGGGGTTGGAAGGTGGGGCAGAGAGAGGCAAGTGTGCAGAGATACAAGGAGAAGAGGCAAAGCAGGCTATTCTCCAAGAGGATCCGCTACGAAGTTCGAAAGCTCAACGCCGAGAAGCGGCCCAGAATGAAGGTACTCTTCCCTACTACTTTGGCTCTCTATTTTAGATCACTGAGGGATTAATTTATTAATACATTAAATGTTTAAAAGATTAATCTGATGATAACATTTTTAAAGAACTAATACATGATGCATAAAATTTGATAGACTAATACGATGACTCAAATTTTTAGATAACTTGTGTAATGATGCATTATGCACGTAACGTTCAAGAACTAAATTTAGGATTTACTCTTTTATAAAATTTAGTCATAATTTATCAAATTACTTCAACATATGAATTTTATTATTAGTGACACACAAGCTATATTAAGTTTTAACTGACACTTTAATTTATAAAGATAAAAAAGATAATGCACTTTATAAGATGGAAATTTCATGCAAGTTTTTGTATTTAACTATTTGAGTTGCCTAAAGAAATGTTCATTTCATTTCCCTGTTTAAATGAAAATAAAAATTCTACGCATATCAAAACCATAATATTGAAACAAATTACTTTCAGTTTTATTTATAAAAAATAAATACGGAATTTATCAAAACTAATAAAAATTAATATGTTATAATAATAGTCATTTTACTATTTTTAGGGTAGAATTAATTTTTTTCTTTCAATTTTTCTCTTAAGATAATTATTATCTTAGAACTTATTTTTTATCTTTTCTCTCCATTTATTACATAAACAAATTTTAAATGCAATTTTTAGTTCTTTTGCTATGACCTTAACAACCATTTTTCAGAATGGAGAGCGAATTTTATTTAAAAAATATGTATAATATTAAATAGTGTCTCTTATACAGTGAATAAATATATCCACTTATTTATAGATAAAGAGTGAGTGTACTTCATTAACACAAATCTCATAATATATACAACAATCATGTTAATAATTATGAGATTTATGTTATAGGAATAGCTGTTTTTAATAAACGAGGGAGGTCAAACTGTAGATTCATAAATTTACCTTGCACAAATAAACTTATTCCGTAATGCTAGGTAGTTATACTGCTTATTTAAATACATCGTGAGGGTAACAATTTAGAGAATGTTTGTATTATTTTGTCAATAAATAAAATGGTACTCTCTTGTTTGGAGTTGATTGGCAAGCTCCGTGTGGTTCCTAGGTTCACTGCAGAATTCCTGCCCAGAACAAACGTAATCCCTCTTTTCTGAAATATGTATTTTAAAGTGTAATTGAAGAATTAATAAAGGAATTATTTTTTTAATTAAAAAAGTATTATTAATACATTTTTTCCATGAGTTTCAGTACATTTAGGCGTACCTTTTAGTAAAATTTTTCTATTTGGTGATGTTTTGGCTTCTATTCTAAGGATTCAAGACCCTACTCAGCGATTCCTAAAATAGAAGGTCAAATAAAATAAAAATTTAGGTGAACAAGTATTCTAGTATTCTAATACCACTTAAATGTCAGTGCATATTCCAACAAATTATACGGTGATGACATTGTCTGACACACTAACTGCAGTATTAGAGTGCTCAAGATTGAAACCTTTTGCTTCCCGTACCCAATAAGTCGTAACAGCTTTTCGTTTCATTTAAAGTTGAGTTGATTTTGATAAAATTGATTTTGAGCTGATGAATGTAATTGAAATACATGTATAAATTAATTTAATTTATATATTTTTATTGGAGCAAGTATTTTGCACTGGAAAGTGATAATTTATTTTCAATTATTTTCCCAAATAAGAGATCTCATATAGTAGTGTAGTATTTTATTTTGAATGAAAATGCAAATTTGGTCAATCTGAATTTAATGAGCATATATACCTAGCTTGATTCCGTAAAATCTATTAAGAATGAATTCTAATTATTTATATTTTGATGCAATTAGGAATGACTTTTATTTATTTATTTTTAAATATTTTCACTATGAGATAAAGACTTAATTGTTGTTGTATTTATTTCCGAAAACAGATAAGAATCGACTTTAATCTCCATTTGTTTCAGTTGTGTTATTTTTTACACTTAAAATTTGATGTTGTATATAATTACGTTTATCTTTCGTTTATTCTTTTATCTTTTCGGTATACATGCATTCAAATAATATACACATGAACACAAAGGGACGTCCCTGGCAGGTTTTCAAAAAACATTACTCATCTTTTTTTATAATTAAAAACAGACTATTAAATGATGTTGAGAGCATCCGTAATGCTGCAACGGTTGCATAAATTAAAAAAAGAAAAGAAAAGAATAAAGTTATCTTTTATACTTCTTTCTATATAGTATAATAAAAAATCGAAGCAACTCTTTTTGAGATTCTTGCAGCAGTAACTTAACTCAAATAAATATTATTATTTTTTAATTGAAAAAGGATAAGGAATTTTGTAAGGACACCAACGATGGTCTGAGTACGACACTAGTTTGCATATTTGTCTACAAAATTGTGTTTAAAACATCTGAAACTTATCATTCCTATTCTGGACATGCTGAACAATTTGGTGGTACAGTAGTTGTTCCTGAACTATGTTTTGCAATTAATTGCTTTGTGTTGGTAAACTTTTCAGGGACGATTTGTGAAGAGGGAATGAGAAGTGTAGACAGTAACAGGCACTTTTCCTAATAAGAATGTTGTCATCATACTACAGCGTTGAAATTGAAGTTTTCGTGTCTTCTGTGTTTGGTCGAGCTGGGAAGCTTTCTTGATAGAAATGTTGTAGATGTAATTATGCCATGTAAAATTCCCAGTGGTACTAAATAATATGAAGTCCCGGGAAAGTCTATGTTCAACTACCGTACTGGCGCAACATGTAATTGACAGTTTCTAGACCTTTGATTGAAACGAGTTTGACAATGTTCTACATGTTCTTTATCTCAATCCAAGGCTTTAGAAACAGTCAAGCATGTTGTATAAGTACAACAACCAAATGTATATGTTGCTCTGAAGACTTGTACAAGGTCTCACGAAATAAAAAAATTGAAACATCAAACGAAGCTTATAATATTTGGGGGAGTGGGAATTGAACCTGGGTCAGATCAACACTGTGGAGTACTCTTGGAAGAAGTGTGTTGTGTGACTACAACCCCCGTTGAAATAAAATAAAATAAAATAAAAACAATTAGTATGAATGAATATTCTTTCTTGTCTAGTTTCATAACTCACTCCTTTTATGATCTTGTCTCACTCCTTATGCTTTTTTGATCAAACTCATTCTTCAAAAATCGAGAACACGGCTCCGAATGGCCAAAACTTTCTGCATTGTCTAGTTCCATTGTTACTTGACATTTGAAATTTACATGATCATTAAAATGAGCAGAAGGGGCAGCCATGTGCTATATATGCAACTAGATTATTCTGTTGATTTTTTCTGCTAGTTTATTTTTAATATTAATTAGTCTTTGCATAAAAGAAAATAATACTCTAAAATATAATTTTAGTGGATTATGTGTAGTATTCTTAAAAGTAAAATTAGGTTGTGGAGTCTTAAAATATGATGTTTTAACTTCCAACATTACAAATGACTTCATTGGAGTTAATTTATAGCTGGTATAAATTAATAAAAATACATTCACTCTTAATTATTGTTAAAAATATAATTTATAGCTACTACACACTTTTTATTTATGCATTTATTCTTAACATAATATTCTTATATGAATTTTATCTTTTTAGTATTTTTTTTTTTACATTTTTGCAATTTGCATTGAATTAAATTAATTTTATGAATCTCTTAGATTATGAATAAAATGATATATGTTGGCTAAAAATAATTGCAAAATGTCCTCATTTTTAATGAATCTCTTGAAATATATATATACACACAAGGTATCTTTAGGTGACATGATGATGCTTTCTATAACATGTAGAATGAATGCTAATTTCTTTCTATGCAATAGAAACATGTTCCGAGTTAGCTTAAGAATAACCAAAATTATAGACTAACATCCCTGGATCTCAGGCAGCCGGAACCCGACTCCATTAGTGGATCGAATATCCAATCTGAGTGTGTGCTCACCAGTCACCTCAAAGAATCACACCCTTCTATAGTTATTCCCAGCTAGACCATACAAGATGAGACTCCTACAGTGCCCAAGTCATTCATCCGTATTCAAGCCCTATATCATAAGTTAACGTTACCCTTCCATGTACACGCACTATTCCATTGAGAAGTGCCTTTCTACGTAGAGCCTAAACATGGTCATTTGCTCTTTATTTTGTTCGGGTCAGCTTGTCTCTATGCCCATCAAAGTCTGGTTAGATAATTTTGGTGCGAATCATCACTCCCTTCACATGGTGACCCCTCATCGTCACCCTTTCATGGATCTTGGCAATAGAGCTCCCACTCCTATTTGTTACATTGTTGACTGGTGTTTATTTAATAAGGACTCAAGCTTCAATAATAAACCGTGACACCTGATCCTTTCCATGAAGAGAAGGTAAGCCCTCACACTCAACGTCCTCCCTTACCATCCCTTGAAGGAGCTATTAATAATGTCACGTGGCACCTAGTTCTGCTATACTACACTCTCTAAATAACTATAGGTTAAATGCCAAAACTCAAATAAATGATATATTCATGACAGTAAAAGTTAGCAGCCATCATATTTATTTAAATAAAATATTTAACAAATATAAAATATTCTCAGAATCAATTTAGGACATAGCTGACCATTATAGGAGCAAACATATGCACCAAAATGCAGCCATATTGCAAGCCACTCCAAATCAATGCTGAAAAGGGTCAAAACAAAAATCTTATGGGCTTGTTAGAGATTCATTGAGTTGAATATCTGTTCTATTTCCATCTAAAAATGGATTATGAATACCAGAGAACAAAAATGAAAAGAGGAGTGAATATCCGTAATATCTTTAACAGAGCTGGGGCATATGCTTAAAATCAATACAGTACATCTTAGATAATATTTTATAATAGCTCAGGAATTATTAAACATAATAGTAAAAATTAAGACTATAAATTAAGAGTATGTTTGATTTTCATTTTAGAAACAACTTTAAGTTTTTAAAAATAAAATGTAGTACAAATTTATACTACATTTTATTTTTAAAAACTAAAAACTGTTTTCAAAATAGAAATCAAACATACTTTAAGAATTCTGCAAAACATTATCAACCAAGGTTCAGTCTAAAACAAGTTCAAAATATCATTTCATAATTAGAAAACAAATATTAATCCAAATGGTTACAATTAACACAAATCAATACATACACCAAGAGTTTAGGAAAATTCTTCGTAAGATAAGATGCTAAGAACTATCCTTACAGCAATAAATTTATGAAATCTTTCCCGGTAAATAGTCCAAATCACACAAAGGAAAAGAAAATAATTATCTTAAAGCTTGAATCAGGAGGCCATTGTGCCACTTCAGACATCGACTACGATCACTTAACTTTAGATATTTAACTGAAAATTAAAATATTTAAATTACTTCTATTTTAACATCCGATTTGAGTCTGTCTAGACACTATATACCACTATAGCATAATTACTTTTTAATTTATGTAAGATGTGTCACTGTTACAAACACACTTTATACAAACAAATTTATAGACGTATATTCAATTTTTTTAAATTTTAAAAAAATTTATTTGTAAATTTGTCTGTAATGCAGATAGGTTTTTTCTATTTGTATTATAGTTCACTATTTGACGTGAAAAATCACATATAGAATTATAGATAAATTTTTTCTATTTGTAATTTGAAAATTAGCAGGATTTTTGAAGCGAGAGTTATAAATAGGAAAAATACGTCTGTAAATATAGCTATTTTTACTGACTTTTCATTTGCTTATTTACAGACGAATTTTTTTGTCTATAATGATCTTTGGCAGATTTACAGACATAAAATTCCATTTTTCTGTTTATAATTGAACTCCTAAAATGCATTATTTCATTAAATCATTTACAGACATATTTTTCTGTCTATAATGTGTGAAACCTATCAAAATCACGCCTACTTCTTCTTCTTCCTCACTTTCCATAATTTCTTCTTTCTCTCATATCCCTGTCTCAGTCTCTCTCTAGCATTATCAGTTATTTGGCCTTTTGCGAGTGGTTGAAGCATCTATTTAGAAAATAATTTGCATCATTGTGTTCCTAGTACGATACTCTAACTTTTAATTAATTAATTTTTTAATTTTTGATGTATAATAGAGACTTAAAATTTTTAAAATAGAGTTGTAGGACTGACAATTGTCTGACTGAGGGATGGGCGTAGAGATCTTTCCCTGAATCTAATTACTGTGTGCTGTTGGATTATTTGTGCTTGTAGATATTGTAGAATATGCATGGAGTTATAAGGGGATGTGCTCTAGAAAATTTAGATTTTTATATTAAATATAAACAAATGTAAGAAAATATTCATATATTAGGAGAGATTCTGCCAAAATTTACATTGAAAATTTGTATAATGTAAAATAAAAGGTTGATACAACATTATATATTTTTATATTTGGTCTCTAAATATGTATTTGATTCAGATATGGCCGGTAAATGTAAGAAAGGAGTTGCTCAAAGTTCTGATCGTGGCAATACTCCTTCACCCACCACTTCCACTTTTACCTCCACACCAGCTACTGTACAAACCTCCCAGGTTAGGGGGCAGAAGCAATTTATCATGGTGCCCAACTCTGGATATGTTGTTCCTGCCTTTCCAGTACAACAAGTTTAACAGTCTGCACTGTCGACTACACATGCCACACAGTCTCCTTCACTGCCAACTATAAATGCCACACAACTTCCTTCATGCATCATTCCTCCTCTGACTCCTCCTCTACCGATGACAATGCTCTTTCGGAAGATGATCACACGAATTATTTGTGATATACACTGTTATTTTATTTTTGACATTATTTATTTAGATGTTTACTTCTTTATTTATAATAACATTTTAGTTTTACGTTTTATAAATAATTTTTATTTTAAATATATAATTTTGTAGTTTTTATTATATGTATAAATTATGATAATTAGGAACAACGAGAAATAATTATGTTTGTAAAAAAATAATTTTTTTTTTGAAATTTCACATATAGATTCAGACATATTTTTTTGTTTGTAACTTACAGATGGATTCAAAAAGTCGTCTGTAATTATTTACTGATACGCATATTACAAATGGACTAGAATTGTCTGTAATTCTAAAATTTGTTTGTAATAATTAAAAAATTCATCTTTATTTACATGTTTTGTAGTAATGTGTGGTGTAAACACTCAAACAATTGTTAAAATAACACTACTTAAATATTTAAGTGGATAATGTCTATTTTAATTTTTTTGTTTTACTTAATTTTGGATTAAATATTGAGTTTTCTTTTCTCCCACATGGTTTGAGTTAGCAAACAACATTGAGTATTAAATGTAATAGTTTAGACTGAAAGGATATAATATATTTCATGCCTATAAAAAAATGTGAAATTTTTTTAGATAAGTGTGGGCTTAAGAGTTAAAATTTTGGTTGATAAATCCTAATTTTTTTTGAATAAAATTTGACTCTTTTATAGTTTTTTTAAGATTTTATTTAGTAAATATCTTTTAGATTCAAAATCATTACTTCCATTTTTATGAATTTAAATACTAAAATAAACATTGTTGTAAAATTAAAAATCTAGTAATAATATATAAAAGTTATTTTTATTGTAGTTGGTTAAAACCAAGATGTTACGTGTCGTACCATTGGTCCTACAACTGCTTGTCCCCATACATTCATTTACTGATGTTATTCCTATCTTTGAAATATCAAATTACTTCAAACAACTTTTGCCATTATTTTATGCCAAAGTAATTTCAAACCTCAAGAATCTCAAATTATTGATGTTACATGTTATTCTTCAAACAAAATGTTGATGGTAAGTATAATTTGGATATAACAATAGGCCATAATCTTTCTATGATTCTCCTCAGGCCAAAAAAACAAGGAGTCCAAAATTAATGGTAGACCTTACTTTACTTGAGATGATCGTCCTTCAAATGAATGGAGAAAAAGATTACTAGATTTTGCAGCATGGTTCGACACAATGTTCATGAAGATACATGCTGATCTATACAAGGTAGTTGAAGAATTT